CAGATCTCTGTGGCCTTGCTCTCGGAGCCTCCTGCTGCTCCTGGCACATTGAGAGCAAACAAGCACTAAGGGGAGCACCGATGGGCATGGTGGGTGGCCCAGAAGCAAGTGAACTGACTGGGCAGAGAAATGGGGAGCCTGCAATAGAGGGTCCTTTGGTCAGGGCCAAGAAGGGGAGATTGGCTAAGCCAGCCTTAGGAACCAAAGCACATGAGTGGAGATCTCAATTACACTCGTATAGACATAGTTAGAAGCCAACGAGGCACCTGGGACTAGCCCTGTCTGGTGCTTTCTTTCTCTCAAAGAAAAACCCGGGCATTTCTAGAGCCTCCCTTGCCTCCAGTGATGGTGGCAGTGTCTGGCCTGTGTGAAATACCTGCTCCCTTGACTATATACCTGGGGGGGGGGTGTTCAGCTCTGACTACATCCAGGATGCCTTCCCTGACTGCTCCAGCCTGAGGTGATTTCCATAGAATCTGGAGTACTTGCCTCCAGGCCTCATGCTGCCATCCACACAGAACCTTCCCACACTGCACTTTAATCCTGTTCACATGCCTCCTCCCACTCTCCCCTCCCCCGGCCAGCCATTGGGGCCTTCCACTCAAGGCTTACACCCAGTCAACTCTATAACAGAGAGAACCAGTGGACAGCACACAGGCCTGTTGCCAAACCAACTAGGTAAATCTGTGAGTCAACAGCTGTGCCCTGCAAATCAGGCTGGAACTAGGGCTTTGTGACAGAAGATGAAGCCCTGAAACCCATCCTCAACTTGGGGGCAGGAGTTAGGTCAAAGGACAAGGGAGGAACATTCATGAATAGGGACACTGAGGTCCAGTGTGGCTGCAGAGGAGCATGTTAACCACAGCCAAGGAGTTGGAGGCTTTTAGTTTGTATACAGTAAGAAGGAAAAAAAAAGCTGTATTGGTTTTCCTTTTGTAGCAAACACACATTTCTTTTAATACAAATATTTGAATATATTATATAATGAATATATATTAGGTAAGCATACACAAGGCATAGCATAAAAGAGACAAAACCACCCATCATTGCTTTGTGCAAGCAGAGACTATTCCTGTTATGGTGGCTGGCATGATTAGGGAGCCAGAGAACCCAGGTCCAAAGATATTGGCTGATGGTTCCGAGGCCAGCGACCAAATACCACAAGCAAGTAACAGCAAAAAGCAGAGGTTAGCCATATGGGTGTGGGCCCAGTCAGTGGGCAGAGCAACCTGGGAATCCCCAAGGATCAACTTTGCCATTGGGTAGCCCGCAGGAAACCTGGAGCTGGTTTTAAGAGCTGAGCCCTAAGTGGTGACAGCTTTGCCCATGGAGGGCTTTGTCGGTTTGACAAGGGCATCCATCCCTTGTCTGCTCTGAGGCCATCTTCAGGTTTGGCCAGGAACAGAGTACCATAGGAGTTTCCCAGCAGTGTGCAAACTTCAGTGCGCTTCTAGGAAGCTGGACCCTCATACAAGGTGAATAAAGATCCCAGGGATCGAGGGATTAAGTGACCTCACTCGGGACATACACAGTGTTCTGGTGGTTCCTAAGGCTGTGCCACACTGCCATCCACAACAGCCATGGGAGGTGGCTGTAGCCCTGGGAGCCTGGCTTGTTCCCGAACCACTGCTCAGGTTGCTAACTAATCCTCTCCTGATTCCCAGACAGCTGTGCAGCCCTCCTCCCAACCAACTCACTTCAAGAGAATCTGTTTCAGAATCATAAGCATTCGTGTGTGTGTGTGTGTGTGTGTGTGTGTGTGTGTGTGTGTGAGAGAGAGAGAGAGAGAGAGAGAGAGAGAGAACATTTGGTGTCATTCCTTTAGCTCTGTCCAATTATTTTTGAGACAGGGTCTTTTACTAGTAAGAAACTCTTCCAAACAGGCTAGGGTGATCAGCAAACCCCTGGGTTCTGCGTGTCTCCACCTCTCAAGTTCTGGGATTACAATCATGCACCTCCAAACCTAGCTTTTCTGGCTCCCTCTCATGGGTCCTAGAGAGCAAACTCATATCCTGCTTACAAAGCAAGCATATTATCAACTGAGCCATCTCCTCAGCTCTACTGCTGAAGAAGTTGGACACAAGTATAGGTGACTGGCTCAGCCTGGCTCCAGCCTTTCCCACAGATGTTCCCTTTGGGTGGAGGGACCCAGTAGCATCCCACTGGGGTGGTGGGGTGTGCTACCTTGGTGCTGAAGAGAAAGCCCTACTGTAGGCACACGAGGGCTGCCTCCTAATCACTCACAGCTCATCCTAGACTCTAGTGTAGGCCAATCTGGATGATGTTTCTTCAGTTCTGGGCAATATTCCCCATTACTCCAATCCACCCCATCACCCCTTGTGGCTGGCATCTGCTCAGTGCCTGCCGTCCTGGTCCAGATGGACATGGTGACCTCTTCTGAGTCTCTTTGCCTCTTCCCTTCCCTCTTCAGTCAGGCTCTATGCTGCAGCCACAGTGTTAAGGCCAGGCCTGACCATTGTCTACCAAGGTTTAGACTTCTGTCTATGGCCCTCTCATAGCTTGCCCATAGCTTACAGAGCATAGCTTACAGCCTGGATCTGACCAGCCCATCTCCACCCTTCTTCCTTACAGGATCCCCGGGAATTAAGGACAGAAACCCTCAGGAATCCACATGCCAGGCTCTTTACTCCAGATTCCCATGAGTAAGGGTTCTATACACAACCTTCCTGTGCCCATGAACCCAGTTCCTGGGGGAATAGAAAGCTTTGGGAGGAGAGAAAGAGAGGATCTGGCAGGCACTATGGCTCCAGCCTGAATGAATCCCCTCTGCAGGGCAGTAACGGGGTAGTCAGGAAGCCCCTTCCTGTTTGACCACATCCTCACCATGCTTCAGGTCATCCCTGCACAGGTGCCACCAAATACCCACAGGAAGCAGAAGCACCCTGTGTTTGTAGATGAGGATACTGCGTGAATTGCCCCAAGACCTGGGCCTTGAATCCCACCATACAAATCACCATTTCATGCCACCTAGGTCAGAGCTTGAAGGGGAACAGGACAGTGGTGGTAGAGTGGAAGCAGAGTGGAAAGTCTGGGCAGTCTGCCACTCTGTCTCCTCCCCAACCCCTGAGAATTTAGAGTCCAATATAGCTGACTGTGGGGTGACACATTTCTGGTTGAACACTATCGTCATTCCTCCTTGGATTGGTAGATCTGCAGGAACAGGTCTCCAGGCAGTGAAACCTCCCTCAGAACCAGCACCAGGCTTAGGCATGTAGACCCAGCCCAAAAGTGCAAAACCCCACAGCATCAGGAGAGGATGGGATGGGCAGGAATGGGAGGGCTGAGAGGAACCACAGGAGATATGAGATCATCAAATCCATCTGAGGTCTATAAAGGAATAGGGACTGGCCCAAGGTCACCCAGGAAGATGGGCCGAGCTAAGCAAAGTCTTGACTCCTCCATCTGTGCCCACACTCTCTGTAAGCTCTTTGTCCATGCTAGCTGTCTGTGTCTGGAGCTCTGGGGACTTTCTCACTTTCGGGAGGGGTGAAAGTGGAGAGAGCACATCTTGGGCTCCCACATCTCATGGCATTAGCTTGTCCCAGAGAGCCAGCAATGTTCTCCAGCTCCCCACCCCCAACAGGTATTCCAGACACCCAGTTTGAGAGCTGTACCTCCTCCTAAACCCTACACCCCCCAGGCTTTACAAGTGGATCAACACCAACCAGCCCTACAGGAGCTCAGGTTATGGGGACTACTCATCTGTCTCCTGTATGGCATGAAGCAAATGTATCACAAATGACTACCAAAGAGTGGTAGAGGGGGAGAGAGAAGGGGAAACAGAGCTCCTGGTCTCAGGAATAGAAAGAACTCAAAGCCACACAAAGTTGAACGCACTCAGCAAGCCTGTAGCCCATGTGTCCAAAGAGGGTTTGAACCACTTTCAGCTGGCCAGAGGTGTCAAGTCTGGAAAGTCTTAGCATAAAGACTTTACTCCCTATTCTGTCTCAAGAAGGGGAAGGTGAGACAATGGGCATATGTGCTTTTCTGCAGCCATAAACTTCTAGGAGGTGGACACTGTCCCTGGAAGCCTGCCATGAATCTGACCAGCATAGGAAGGAGGAACCACAGGGGAGCAGCCTGGTGCTTGCCTGCAGACCCGTGAACTCTAGCTTCCTCAAGAACGGGGCAAGGGAACATGATGGAGCCTATAGAAAGGTCTGGAGACTTGTCACCCGGGTTTCTTTCTCCAGAATCATATCAGCAGAGCCACGTGCACCCATGTGACCCTGACCTGAAGAGGGCAGGATATTGAGTAGGGTGAGAGAGTGAAGTCCTGAGGGTGGATGTGAACCTGTTTTTGGAGTTTTGGTGTTTGAGGCATGTCATTTCCTGCTTGAAAAACACACCTGCTTTCCTGCTGTGCCCCTCCTATCCTTACTATTTAAGATGAGGTTTCCAGCAACATGGGAAAGAGGCGGCAGATGCCTCCACCACCTGTTAACTGTGACCTTGGACAAGAAGCCAAACTCCTCTAAGCCTCAGTTTCCTCATCTGTCAAAAGGGGCCCCCAACCCGTTCACACTGGCGCTGGACATAACGGATGTCAGCAGTAGCCCAGGTCAAGCATGCAACACCAACCTGGTGAGAAGCAGGGAATCAAACATCTCACTTCCAGGCAGCAAAGGATGAGTGGAGCCAGGTTTCCAGTCTTCTCGGACAAACTTTCTCTCCCCGTACCCCTTCCCCCAGGCAGGCCACCTTTGGAGGGAAATAAAGCTTCTCTTCTGTCAGTGGGTTTCTCTGCCTCTTGGCTAGGACCACACTGCCCATCTCAGGGCACTTGGAGGGTGGGTCGCAATGGGATGGTTTGGTTAATGCTGTGCAGGCACCTGTATAGGTCAGGGCACCTGATGCAAGGCGGCCAGGGCAGGCTGCAGTGGGTACTCCAAATGATGTGGGTACAGAGCACAGGCTTCCCAGCCTGTGTCGCCTGCTCTCACACTATGACCTGCGCAGCGCACTCGCTTGGCCCTTACCTTGAACCATGGGAACCACGCTGCCCCGGCTGGCGGAGGACTTGGACACACGTGACAGGGCAGGCGTCCCTCTGTCCCGGACACAGCGAGTAGCGGCAAATGCAGCCCAGGCCACTGCCCGTGCTTGCTGGGGCCAGACTGGCAAGGAGAGCGCCGAGAGGCTCCTGGAGGCCCCAGAGGAGGCAAGTGCGTGCCCAGGAGAGAGCCCCTGCCAGCTGCGCTCTGCGGCCGCGGCTCTGGACGCCCAGCTGCCTCCCGGAGAGCTGCACGCGCGACTCCAGCCCAGTCCCGGGCGCGGGGCGCGCGCTAGAGGGGAGGGCGCGCGCGCTACCCTGCTGGGGAGTGCGCGCAGCGGGCCCCGCGCGCGCCAGTCGGCCAAGGCTGCGGCTGCGGGGAGGGGAGGAATGGGGGGGGGGGAGGAAAGAGCAGCTGGGGAGCTGTCCCTGGTGCTGCGGTTCCCCGCAGCGGCACCCACATGCAAGGTCTGGGGGCCCACACCTCCGTGCGCGCCCTGCGTGGTTCCCGCTGATCTCCACCAGTCTGTTTCTGTCTTCCTGATGTTTGATCTCAGTGGCGATGGGATTTGCCTGGCTCTGGACAGTGCAACCTTGGAGCAGATCCCTGGTCCTTGTTTCTGGGGTGACTGACAGCAGGGCCTTTAAAGCTGGTCTGAAAATGAAAGGCAAGGATGTCCACAGGCATAGCACACCCTAAGTGCTTGACAAATGCTCACCTTTGCTCTTACTTGTTTCCATTCTCTGGGTCAGTATCATGTAGCACTGGAGGGCAGTGCATATTCTCCGTACTGGGCTGGTTGGTGGCTAGGGCCTGTGGTTGATTCAGGTTTCCAGCCATTGGGGAGGAACCATCATTAAACCAATGGTTGGAAGACAAGGCAAGACAGATTTACTTTGGACATGAAGAATTTTCTGACCTTTCTTCTTGAAAATATGGCCCCAAGACAAACCAATCCCTGAAGATGTGGCTGCAGACCCAAGCAGAGGGGAGTATATATTGAATGAGACTTTGAGTTAAAACACACAACACTCTGAGAAACCTTCCTGGATCGCTAGGAGTGCCCTGAGAATGCTTGATTGTGCTGAATTTATCCTGGTGCTCTGTAATAGGCGCTGTCCTGGTGGGAAGGGCATAAGTCAGCCCATCCTGAGAGGCCAGTGAACTGGTGGAGTCTCCTTCCCTTTTGCCCACTAGATGGGCATAGAAGGACCAACAATTCATTCTAAGACATGCCACAGGGCCAAGGAAGCAGCTGCTTCAGCCAGACCCCCTACCCCCACCAACTTCCATGTTGTGTCCTTCCTAAGGGTCCTCACTGAGCTTCCCCAGTGATACTCAGATTCTTGGTGCTTGAGAGTTTCTTTATAACATACTGGGAACATCCTTCATCACACTTAACTATCAGGAAGAGATGGCCCCTGCCTTTCCCTGCCTTTAAGTATCTTCACCCCTTGCAAGATGGGTAATTAATTGTCACCTGCCTCACTTCTCCAGGGACTGGTGGCTCTGCTTGATTCATTAATTAACTGTACTCAGAGCCTGCTTGCAGCAGGCACTTACCTCACAGTAAATACCACTCGTTATGTGCTCAGTGCATTCCAGATGCAATGCTAAACACTTGCATACATTGTCTCACTTAGCCAGCTCAGTGATGGCCTGGGAGATCCAACCAGAACCTACTTTGCAGGTGAGAAGGAAAAACAGGGTCCTCAGCGGCAGACCAGAGCAGGGGCTCCTCAGCCTCTTTGTGGATCTCCCACACCCAACAACATTCCCACTCAGAGGCTGGACAATGGACCCCATAGAGATGATCCTGTATAAGGGGAGGGCAGAGAGCCCTGGAGAATGCCAAGAAGAAAGCACGAACCAACCAGCCAATCAACTCCTGCAACCGTTTTTCACTGTCTCAATCGAGACTTCGTGGCTTTTGGTGATTGCCTCAGATTCTTAGATGCTGTCAAATGTGTGCCAAGAATTTCAAAAGAAGTCTCACCATCAAACCCTGCCTTTGCTCACCAGTTCACCCACACTTCTACTTCACATGGCTCCCAGTGAGTGTGGGAGCCATGGTCTGAGCAGCCAAGCACCCAAAAAATGGTTTGGCTGGCTGACTCTGCTTTTTCCTATGTGAGCAGGGGTGCGTTCCCAGTGATAGTGTGACTTTACTTAAGAGGTGCCCATTTCATTTAAACCATGACTGGCTTCAGTGACTCATAGCATGTATAGTAGACACCCTGTGTGTTGTGTACACATGTGTACTAGTGTGCTCTTGCATGTAGAGGTCAGAGGTCAACAATGACCATCTTTCTCTATCACTTTCCTTACTTTTTTAGACACAGTCTCTCATTGAACCTGGAATTTACATTTTCAGCTAGAATGGCTAGCCACTGAGGATGCAGGCTCTTCCCATCTCTGCTTTCCCCTGAAGCTGGGGTTACAGACACAGGCTGCCACACCCAGTTTTTAGTGGGAAGCAACACTCAGATCCTCATGCTTGCACAAGTGCCATTATCTGCAAAGCCATTCCTGATGCCTTCGTAACCTTCACTTCAAAATGTTAACAGAGAGGTGAAATGACTTTCCCAAAGTCACAAAGCCAACAGAGAAATGCACAGAGCAGATACCATTTGGAATATGGCATAATGGTCACCACTCAACTTGTTTTTTGTGTATGGAAACATGCCTTGATTTTATTTTTAAACTCATTTCTAAAATTACAAAAGCAAGGAATATGGAGAAGCCTCTGAGCTGACTTCATAGAAAAAAGGCACCATTGAGTTTCCTGAAACAGCAAGTCCTGGTACAAAACAAACAAACAAACAAAAAACAAACAAACAAAACAAAAAAACCTTATCCCCGTTCAGTTCTTCCAACTGGGCAGCGGCAGCTATGGCACGGGAGGCTGGGAGCCATTCCACTACAACAGGCTTTCCAGTTGCGTGGCAACTTCTGTCCTGTCCTAGGCATCTTTCCACAACATACAGTTTAGTGGATGTAACCCAAACCCAACAGATGGTGGAGGTGTTGAAAACTGTCCAACACGCAGCAACATGTGGGGCAGTTTGCAAGGCTTGCTTTCCAGCCTGGGCGAATGTGGCTTTAGTAAAAGCAGCCTCTTATGCTTCAAGTGGGCTGATAGATGAGCAGCTTCAGGACTGAGGGCTGATGGCCTCTACATCAGAGGCAGGGACACCAAACATTTCTTTCCAGTGCTCTGCAAATATCCAAGCTCATGATGCACTCTCTGATGGGGTGTGGAAGAAAAAATCACTAGTGACCGAAGGAGACTATGAGCACCCAGCCATGCTTATCTACCTCCAATCACTGTGGGTTAATATCTCCAATATGACAGGGTCTAGAGTCACCAAAGAGACAAACTCCTATGTGTGCCCGTGAAAGAGTTTATAGATTGGGTTACCTGTGATTGGAAAACACACTCTGGGCATGAGGCTGCCATCCTGTGGGGTGGGATCCTGGGTTGAATAGAAGGGAGAAAGGAGATGAGCACAGGCATTTACCTTTCTCTGCTTCCTGGACATAGATGCAGTGTGACCAGCTGGCTGGTGTATCTGCTGCCATGCCTTCTTCGCCATGATGGGATATACTGTCAAACTGGGTGGGCCCACATAAGCACTTCCATCCGCCTGTGGCTTTTGTTAGGTGTCTTGTCACAGCAGTATGTTGTGCAATGAGCACTGGATCCTCTGGCTTGAAGGCCATGCACCCAGCTTCTGCTCATGACTGGGAGTGTCATTCTGCAGAGTGGAAGGAACGAAGTATTCTTGGAGAAAGGAGGCTTCTGCCAGGACCTACAGAGCCAAGGACAGAAACAATTTCCAAGGCTCTTTCAGGGAACCCTTGGGAGAAGGGAGCTTGAGTCTCCAGAAATATCATAGTGAAGGCTGGTGGAGACCCTTTCTGTCCTGGACACCTGGGAGATTTTGGGAAGGGTTGTGCTGGTTGGTTGGCAAGGATAAAATTTCTATTGTTGACCATCACCTTGCTTTCTTAGGCTGCAGTCATGAGGGGCTCAGAAGTTGGTTGAACATGACAGTAGAACCATGTGTCTACCCAACTCCAAGTGATCTTCACAGGTCAAGTCCATCCAGACAATTAATGAATTAAAATTAACCAGAGACTCAGACACTATCAAGCAACTGATTATTTTGTATTGTGAGGTGGAGTCACTCTCATGTCTCAGATCAAAGTCTGTTAGACTGGGCAGCTCTGAGGCACTGCCAGGAAAATTAAAGTACTCGAGAGAACAAGCAGGTTAGACGAGTGTGCACGAGAATGGAGACTGTGAGTGGGTGGGTGCATACAGGGGTGTGAAGCCCACGGGGTGGGGGTGCGTCTTGCTGTAGTTCCCAACAGGAGCCTCGTTTTTTTTTTTTTTTTTTTTTTTTTTTGGAAAGCACTTGTGGTGGTTTTAATTACTGCCACAACCTGAAACATTTTGACAGTGAGCTCGATGTTCTCATTCTTGAGAGATCATGGAGGATGATAGATGAGGAGGTAGGTGCACTGGGATTAGTCCTGGGTCTCTTGGGGTTCCTTGTGTGAGTCACAGGCTGGAAAATCCCGATGTGGATGTGGCAGGGGGAGCCAGAATCAGGGGTTTTATTGTTTTGGGACCTGCATTGGTTCTCAGGATGTTTGACTCCGGAAAAGCCTTAGCCAGAAGGGTCCTAATCAGTCCTTCATTTCCCCCAGGCAAGTGACTCCAGCAATCCAGACAGCTTTCCAACTTCATTCATTTGTTCACCACACACTCTGGATGTGGGGAAACCAAAGTAAAGAACCTTTATATTCTGGAAGCTCAGAGCTGAGCGATGTCTCAAAGTGAGGTCCTTCATTTCACATGGGAAGTGTTTATTGGCAGCCTGGCATCTCTCCTATGCTATTTTATCTCTGAAATATGTTGACAGTGTTGAGTGGAGAATTGGTGTTTCCTTTGACAACTTCCCAGCAAGGAACCTGTGACAATAGCCAGGTCCACTGGTCTCTGAAGTCCTTGCTGGTGATATCTTGAGCTCAAACTGACTCCCTCGGGGTATTATGATTTTTTTTAAAAGCCATAAAATGTGAGACCGAGTCTTTGAATTATGTGAACCCCAGGTTAAAGCACCCTCCCAGCAATTTCCTGCTTCTGTTAGTGCTGCTTGGTAAGGAGAGGTGCACACTGGAGTTTAATAAAAGCGCAACACAGAATCCCTTCTGTGATCGACACATGCAAATATGGAGAGGTGACAATAGAATGACAAG